TATATGGGTGATCGAGAACCTTAAGCTGAAATGCAGGGCAATCAGTAGCCATTTCTCCCCACCTTTCAGTAGGAACAAGCCTTCTCTGGATGTTTGCACCCTGGAAGAAAGTGCCATTTACCTTGTGCTAGTTATGCTTTTTTCTAGCTAGGTCCCAGAGTCTTCCTTCTCCTAGTTTCTAGTGCCTCCTTTGCTTGGGCTATGGCTCCTGTGTCACAAAAAAAACCCAGATAATGTTGTGATATCACTCTGGTTTTGCAAAGGAAACAATACTGGGACTTGCCTACAGCCATTAAATCTCTCAGTTCTGTCACCAACTAGTTATGTACTTTGGGTAAGTTGCTTAATCTCTATATGACTCAGTTTCCTCAGCTGTACAATAGGGGTGACAGTACTTGCACCAACTATCTCTCAGGATTTTTTCTGAGGATCAAATGATATAATATATGCAAGGAATTTTGTGCACTTTAAAATGATATAGAAGATATTTTTAGTATTTTTTTTCTGGTACTGTCGACGGCTGGCATGGAGTCATCCACACTCTTTCTGACTCACATGCTACCACAGAGCAGAATATAGTCCCTTAGTGACCTGAAAGAAGAAATGCACTTCCCTAAATACCTCACTTACTACCAAAAAGGAACTGGATGAGGCTTGGAAGAGGGTTCATGAGTTTATGATGGAACTGAAAATTCTGCCCCAACACCATAATTTTCAAGGCTGTTTGGAATCAGTCCTCCTTTCAAAAGCTATTGATATGGAAGCTATATCTCAAATATCTGGTTAGCACATTTTGCTCAAGAAAGAGCAGGTCTGACAAAAGGCCAAAGCATCATTTGTTTCCCCCAAGAACAGCAGTCAGCTTTGGGTGAATGACACGTACGAAATGCTTTGTGTATTTTAGTAATAAACTGCCATGTAACACAATGGCAATAAAATAATTTCTCTACTTCTTCTTTGTTTAATTGGGCAAAAGAACCCCCACAGCTATGATTACATAGTGAGATGAAGACCAAGAAAGAAGTCTGGGAACCTCCTCTCTGTTGATTCAGGACTGGGAACTCAGGCATTTTCCAAGAATGGAAACTGGGCAAAGGATAGCCAGCAGAAGGAAAGAGAGCTTGCCCTGGCAGCCGCCCCAGATAGGAACCCAAATGGAAGGAAAGGCGTTGAGTGCTTGAGCCCCAGCTTGCTGATTGAAGGATTCAGGCCTTTAGCTGATGTATTTCAAACTTCTTTTGCCCACCGAATATAGCTGTTTGCGTTCATGCTGTTTCTTTAAGACCTCAAGCTCTAGTGAAAGCTTCCATTTTCCCAGAGCTGGTCGAATGAACGTGGAATTGAAAGCAGATGTGAAAGCCAGCATGTTATTGCACAAGGGCGAATGGGGCATGGGGAGAGAGTAGAGGGGGGAGGTGGTGGGGGCTGCATGAAGGGACCCTCAGCAGCCCCAGGACTCTCATCACTCGAGGGGGTCTGAACTCCAAATTCCACCAGCCTGCACTCTGAAAATGAAGTCCTAACAGAAAACAGATGGGAGTGGACCAGGAGGAGGGGGAGGAGTAAGAAGAGGAAGGCTTGGAGGGAAGGCTTGTGGGGGAGGAGGGGTGGCAGAGAAGGTTAGGAAGCAAGCAAGGGAAGAAGAAGGCAGAGCATGAGTCCGTTAAAATATATTGTCTGTGTAAGAGAATAAAAGTTCGTGAGGAGGTGAGGGGTTGGTGGGAAATGTGGATTTTGGGGAGTGGGGGAGAGCAGGGCATGAGGCTTAGGCACACCAAGGCATTCCTGTAGCTAGATTTCCCATTATTTGGAGAGGGGTCTCATGAAAATAATGTCTTCTAAGAGCCAATGGCAAGTTAGGAAATTACAGAGCTGCCCTATCCCTCTGAAAGTCTGTCTCCAGGAACAGCCCAGATCCATTTGCAAATGCCAGTAGTCCTGATAAATCAAACTCACTGGAGTCAGCACAGCCCTCATGCTACTTCTCAGAAGGGCTTTGTCTCAGCCAGAGCATGCTAAATAGAGTCTGCTGTGGAGGAGGAGGCGGCGGTTGGTATAGTCTATAGTCTGGATAATAATAACTCATGGACCTTTTCCACCCTGGGAACCAGAGCTAATCTACTTTTATTTTCCTAGACCAACTCATCACAGATTTGATAATACGCAGATCTGGATGAAACTTTGTGAAAGATTCAATTTGATTTTCCCCTGCCATGGGTATGAAGCACTGTGGTTCAGTGGAAAGACCACTGGTTTAGGAATCAGAGGACCTGGACTCAAAATCCACTTCTGTCACTTGTTCCCCAATCTGTAGCCAGTCTCTCAACTCCTCTGAGCCTCAGTCTTAATAATGAGTCTCAGTATAAATAAATTCTTATTTATACAATGGGTTGGGGGGGGGTTGGAGAGCATGGTTTGAACTAGATGGCCTCTTAGGTCCTTTCCAGTCCTAGGTCTCTGATGCCACGATTTATTTATGTGACAGCATGAAGCAAGAAAATCCTGGGTTCTAGAGCTGGAATGGCCCCTAAAAATCCACTCACTCATTTTTTGGATGAGGAAACTGAGGCCACAAGAACAAGTCACATGCCCAAGGTATAACTAAGAGCAGAGGCCAGATTCTAAAACCAAATCACTACGTTTTCATTATGCCACATTACTTCTCTATCAAGTAGCCCTCAAGTCCACATCATTAAATTATTTCTGCAGAGAAAATTCTACATAAATTAGCAAAAAAATTCCTAAAAGCAAGCAAGCAAACAAACAAAAATCCCAGTCACTTCCAAAGGTCATAAAACAGATCTAGGCTGGCTTTTGGGAAATAAACCTAAGAGTAGATTGAATTCTCCCTACCTCACTCTAAGCTAGGCTTGTACCTCCACTGATTTCAAATTTCACCTGGCTACGATCTGAAGGTTGGGACACAACTTATTTAACATTCTGGGAGAACTATTTCTTTAGGAGCATGGAAAGCCAGTGGAAGAAGTGGCTGCTTTCCACAATTCCATCTCAGCACCTGGAGAAGAAAATTTGTAAGGTCTGATCATCTTCCCGCTAACTCCCTCCTTCAGCTGCTGCTACCACTGCCAGCAGGCCAAGGCCCACACCCAGGCAGACATTCAGATAATCTGGCACCTCTGGAGTTGGGGCTAGGGGACAAGATGAGGTGGTTTGGGAGGCTATGCCAGCACATCATCACATCAATATTTCATTCTGCACTTTGGGCCTGTGGAATCTAACATAAAAGCCAGCATACTTAGAAACTCCAAAAGAGCATCCTCAGGCTAAGATTAAATCCATTTTTTGAACTCTCCTTCCTGCTTACCAGAGGAAATGTGTCTGTCCTAAGTCTCTATCCCAGTCCAAGTTTTCTATTTTCTTTTTGATATCGCATGTCAATGATGGGAAGGGGTAAGGCAAAGAAAAAAAAACACACAACAAATCCTACAGGCTGTTACTTTATGGAATCAGCCTCCACTTTAACCCTTTCTTCTAAAATTCTGCCATTTTTACACTTTATAAAGCTGGCACTGATCTTCCCAAAGCTTTGAGCTGCCATACGCACCTGTTACCACCATGTTCCCACAAGCATGTTTCCAAAATCTTTCTTTCTCTATCCTTGTTAAGCCACAATGCAAAGGCTTCCCTTTGTCCCCAGCTCATCCTATCCATTCACAGAAATCCCAGAGCTGGAAGGGCCTCTTGAAATCATACAGTCCTGATTCCTATCAGTACAAGAATCCTTTTTTCAATCACATGGACAAATGGTCATGTTGCCTTATCTGTCTTGTGAATGAGGAACTTACAGCCTTGTGAAATAGCCTATCCCACTTTGGTGCAGGTCTAACTGTGCAGAATCCTTACTTTGACCCAGAAATGCTACTTCTAGGTCTGTTTCCAAAGATGATTAGGGAAAAGAAGCTATATGTTCTAAAATATTGATAGCAGCTCTCTTCATGGTGGCGAAGAGCTAAAAATTGCAGGGATGCCTGTCATTTGGGGACTGGCTAAACCAGCTATGGTGTATGATTGTGATGGAATACTACTGTGCTATAAGAAATAATGAGCTCAATGATCTTTGTAAGACGTAGCTGGACCTGCATGAAATAATGAAGAGCAAAAAAAGCAGAACCAAGAGAACATTGTATACTGTAACAACAATATTGTTTTAAGAATGACTTTGAATGACTAAGTCATTTTGACTATTAAAAATACCTAAATTAACTAAAAGGACATATGAAGGAACATGCTATCTGCTTCTAGAGAAGGAACTGAACAATAGAAGTATGTATAGAATGATTTTACATGTTTATCTATTTATTTGTGTCTAATGGTAGCCATCTGTAGGGGAGGGCAGGGGGGAAGAAAGAAAAAAAGGAAAAAAAGAAAGAGGAAATTTACATGATAACTTTATTATATATTTAAAAGGAATAGCAAGTTGTACATAATTGATTTTCAGTTTATGTATATTATATGTTATATAAAATGAATATAAACACACTTAAAATATAAACAAATAAACATAATAAAATACATAAATATATAAAAGAAGCCTTTGTTTAGATTATGCCTCTGCAACATGAACTTACTGCCAAGTAAACTAGTTCTTCGTCTTCTCCCACATGGCAGCCATTCACATGTTGAAGATATCTGTATGTTCAATGAGCTCACTGAGGGCAGCTAGGTGATTTCTTTTTTAGCTCCTCACTAATCTTAAGTTTCAGCCACCTATTAATTATTTCTAATATGTCATTTCTTAAAGACTATTCTCCTTGGCAAATGTAAAAAGGAATTGGAAGAACTTCAGCACCTGCTTCTAGCCAACTATGTATGCTAGCCCAGCAATCACGTAATTGGGGAATGAGGAAGCAATTTCTTACTGTCCATTGAGCTAGAAGAAGATCCATGGAACTGTTCCCTTCTCACCCCAAGCTCTAGCTGTTTTCTTTCTTCTTTCAACCATTTGTTTGTAATACTATGTAGTTGATGATTCCCTGCAGGTAACATCATGAACCCTGAATTTCCCATGAAGGTTGGTGGAAGAGTAGCCCTTTTTCAGCTAGGCAGTATGTTGATTGTTCCCATCTCAACTACTGAAGTTGGGCTCAGTTAGGTAAGTGGAAGCCTGAGCTTCTGGAGGCATCTTTTACTTTGAATTTCTTTGCTTGATCTTGGGTGCCTGAATATGGACCCCGAGATGTACATGCCTAGGTTTGGACATGACCTTGTGAGCTGGAGAGATTACAGATCCTGGATTCTTAGGTGATGCCGGTTACCCTTCAAGAAGACTCTCTGCAACTACTCCAGCAATTCATGGAGAGGATGGCTACCAGTTGAAGAAGCCCCCAAGCCCTGGCTTGCCAGAAATCATGGAGATGGAGGGAGTTAAAACATACATGCACATGTATGTCATGAGTCTAAATGTATTGCACATAGGTGCCATAAGTCCAGGATTATGTGTATATACATACAAACATACATTTAGACAAATGTGTACATGTGTATCACAAATTATGACATGTGCATACAAAAGAACAGAAATACATGTACATGTGCATCATTAATACAGCTTGCATGTGCACATGTCCAAATGTATATCTAGATGTACGCATAGAACATGCCATCAGTCTAGGTGTATGTGTGTAAACTCATCTAGACATATGTCTAGATGTACACATACATGCATATAATGAGTATATAATACATCTAGCCATAAGTGTACACACATGTTGTGATTCTAGGTGTACATACACATGTGTATCACAAGTCCAGACATAGATCTAATATGTAAGTACACATATCACAAATCCAGATTGTGAACACACATGTATCATGAGTTTAGGTGTATGTGTGCAGAGGTCCTTAGTCTAGACACATCTAGACATGCAAATCCAGACTACATGTACAGTATGTAATAAGTTACAATATGCATATACATGGAGTTTGTGAGTCTAGGTATGTGGTCATGAGGCCAGATTTGCATGCACATATATTTCATGAATACATGATGCATATACACACATGTTTTAGGACCATAGTATATGTCTGTGCCACAAATAGGCACACAAGTCCATGACACAGATGTGTCATGATATAAAAATGTGTGTGTCATGATTCCAGAAAAATGTACACATATGTCACGGATCTTAGATCTATTAGACTATTTTCCTTCTACTCAGCTGGCCCTTTTCCATTTTGTTTTGTGTTGTATTCATTTTGGCAAGTGAAAAACCCTTTTAGACATTTTGATTTCAGTATTTCCATCATTACTGACACCTTTGGAGTTCAAGTCAATTGAATTTTGGTTAAACAGGACTTCTTGATCTATGAAAACATGGCTCCAACCCAAAACTCATCAAAGCATCTTGGAGAGTAAATTGCTCTGACCAAACATCATTTTGTTGAAATAAATGTAAATTAATCAGAAACAGTTTCCCCTGAGACATAGGAGGGTTGAGAATTTAAGGTAAAAGACCATTACAGAAAAGTCCATTTGAGGGTTTCCTGAGCCCTCATCATGTGGGAAATTGTTTGAGACATTTTGATGAGTTTGTAACACTGCTGAATGGGTCCATTCCGCCTGTAAATTTGTGGTTTCCATGGGATTGTTTAAGCTTTCATTTTGCTTGCTCTGTAAAACATCAGGCCTGTGTTTAACCGAGACTTTAAACATATCTACAGTGGGTTGGTGAGTTAGGGAATTAGTCAGGAAAGCCTAAGCACATGCAAACTTTATCTTAGATTGCATTTTTATATCCTTTGACATCTTAGAGAAAAAAAGACATATTGGACCATATATTTAGATATGGAAGGGGTCATTTAGTCTAACACCGTATTTTTATTTTATTTTATCTATTTTTTTAGCATTCTTTTCTTTTTAAAGTTTGAGATGCAGATTCTCTCCCTCCTTCCCATCTGTCCCCCACCCCACTAAGATGAACAATGTGACATGAATTATACATGTGAAATCATTCAAAACGTATTTCCACATTAGCCATATTTCAGAAAAAGGAAAGAAAAATAAAAAAGTAAGGAAATTATATTTCAGTTTGCACTCAGAGGTTATCAGTTCTCTCTCTGGTGGTGGATAGCATTTCTTTATAATGAGTTCTTTGGAATTGTCTTGGATCACTCTATTGATCAGAGTAGCCAACTCTTTCACAATTGATCATCAAAACAATATTGCTATTACTTTGCACAATGATCTTCTGGTTCTTTTCTCTTCATTTTGCATCAGTTCATATAGATCTTGCAATGTTTTTCTGAAACCACCTTCTCATCATTTCTTATAACACAATAGTACTCCATCACAATCATATGCCACAACTTGTTTAGCCATTTCCCTCACGATGAGCATCCCCTAAATTTCTAATTCTGTGCAATCACAAACATGCTTCTACAAATATTTTTGCACATGTAGATCCTTTGCATTTTTTCTTTGATATCTTTGGGGTACAGACCTAGAAGTGGTATTGTTTAGTCAAAGGTTATGCATAGTTTTATAGCATTTGGACAGTTTCAGTTTGGTTCTAGAGTTGTTGGACCAGGATGCTACTCAATAAAAAATTCATGAATGTATCTATTTTTCCTCATCCCCTTCAGTGTTTGTCATTTCTATCTATGTGAGGTTATACCTCAGAGTTGATTTAATTTGCCTTTCTCTAATCAATGGCAATTTAGAGTATTTTTTCGTGTAACTCTAGGTAGCTTTGATTTCTTCTTCTGAAAACTGCATGGTCACAGCCTTTGACCGTTTATCAATTGGGTAACGGCTCTTGTTTTCATGAATTTGATTCAGTTTCCTAAAGATTTGAGAAGTGAGGCCTTTATCAGAGAAACTTGCTGTAAAATCTTTTGATATTACTTCATTGTCTTTGATACATTTAGCAAAATGTAATTTCCCTGATTATCTTTTTTAATAAGGTCTATTTCATTTTGCTTTGTCTGAAATCATAATTGCTACTCCTGCCTTTTTTTTATTTCAGTTGAAGCATAATAAACTCTGCTTTAGCCTTTCGTTTCAGCTCTGTGTGTCTTTATGTTTCAAATGTGTCTCTTGTACACATGTTGTTGGATTCTGGCTTCCAATCCATCCTGCTATTTGTTTCCATCCTATCTCATTTACATTCACATTTATGATCATTAACTGTGCCTTGGCCTTCATCTCACTTTCCTGTTTATCCTTCTATCTTTCTCTTTCATCCTGTTCCCTCTCAAAAATCTGTCTTGCTTCTGACCGCTTTCTCCCAAATTTGCCTTCTTCCTCATCATCCCACCCCATATCTCTTATCATCTCCTTCTCTTACAATTTCCCTGTTGGGTAGGATATATTCTGTAATCGAGTATATGCATGTGCATATGTATATAAATACATGTCTGTCTGTCTGTCTGTCTGTATGTATGTGTATATATACATATACATATATACATATACATATGTACATACACACATACACACACACATATTCTTACCTCTTTGAACCAATTTTGTTAAGAGTGAGTAAACTGAGACCCACAAAGGTTAAGGGACTTGCCTCTTGTGATACGATTAGTGTCTGAGGCTAGATTAGAACACAGATTTTCCTGGCTCCAAGAACAGCATTGTATACATGATATATCCTCTGTCTTGATAGCCAGTCTTGGTCATTCTTTTCTTTTCCCCCCATATGGCTTGGTTCACTGCCTTGCTCATCATAGAGACTGAATGAATGTTTGCAGAACAAATGAAGGCAGACAATGGTGAACATCCACAGATTACTTGGATTTCTCCTTTTTAAAATTATAATTACACCTGACATTTACATAGTACTTCTAATACATTATCACATTTCCATTTCTGTCTATTTGTGAGGTGATCTCTAGAATCTCTAATCTATAAATGAAGAAACTGAGTTCTGAAACAGTTCTTTTTGCCCATTATTCCATAGCCAGTAAGTGCTATAGTGGGTGAGATTTGAACTCAAATCTTCCTGACTCCAGGTATAGTATTCTATCTATTACATGCATGTTTTCAAATGGTTAGGGAAACTAGTAATTCCTGTATAGAAAGTAAAATTTTCAAGTACATGTCAGTGACTAGTTTAATGTTCTGTGATTTCCCAATGCATGTGTTTCAATATTTCCAACCGCAGTTTAAGGAAATGTGAAATTGACATAGCAATATAAATTGTGCCTTTTGAATGAAGTTATGTAAGGTAGTGCTGATGTCAGTCTTGCCCAAACAGATTTAACAATCATGAGTTAAGAATGCATACATGTGATGCTATGTTTTTAATAGACAGGTTCAACTTTGTGGGTTTTTTCCTTACCTTTCATTGTGGATTTTTTTAGAAAACTGAAAACAATGATGACAACAATAGCATATAACATAACTCCAAACAATCAAAAATTGATCATGTGCCATAAGGGTGCACTCTCGAAGGAAGCAAACTATTCACATTCATTGAGCAAATTTCAATGCTTTTTTTTTCTCTCATTCATTCTTTTATTCAAGAAATGTTGATTAAGCATTGACTTCATGCAAAACACCATGTTTGACTTTTGGGGAGATCCAAAGATAGGTAAGACAGAGTCACTGTTTTCAGGCAGTTTATAGACTACCTGTAGTGTAGATATGCCAATTGACACACTGCCAGATCCCATTAACCATGAGACAAATTAATCATCAGTGGAGAAGGATCCTCCCCCCCCACTCCCCCTATTTTTGCTTGTCAAGGGACTTCAGGAAAATTGCCAAGGGAAAATCAAAAATCAGTTCACCCTCTCAGATCAAAATCTTGCATATTTCACCTTTCCCTGAGGCAAAGAGTATGATGAACCATCATCTCTCCTCTTTGTGAAAGCAAAGCTGTTTTACTTCAGGGAGTTTAAAGGTGGGGAAACGGGCTGAGGCTGACCCCAAAGAGCTGAAATTAAAAAGACCAAGGACAGCGTCCCTTGATCATGCAAAAGTGTAGATTCTTACAGGGCACAAAGAAAAGGAAAAGTTATTTAGTTTAGCTTGGTAAATTGGGACTGCTCACTTCTGGGCTGTTATTCCCTTGAATCTGTGTTTCTTCATGTAACATAAGACTAATCAGTATCCATTACTAGTTTCAAAGCACTAGAGATCCC